CCAGGAATTCCAGTATCTGCTGATGACTCTTTTCTCCCTCCTTTAAGAATTCATGAAGAAGAGCATACATAACCATACGTAAGGCTCGCATGGCCTTAGGCCAGGCCTTTCCATTGAAGATAGATGCCAGGCCGCCAAATGATGCACCTACCAGCTCCTCAAGGCCTGTTGAATTCATCAGCTCCCCAATTGAGCCAATGAATGACATCAGGGTGTGCATCATTCCAGGGCTGAGCAACACAGATGCCCATCGCGTGGGTCACCCCATTTAATCTGGCAAGCAATCTTGTACAGCTGCATGTCAAATGTTATATGACTGTAGCTCATGCCAAGCTGCTTGAGTGATGTGTCCAGGTATGTAATGGTACGGAGCACTGTATCAGGATGAGCAGGAGGTGAGTCGAGCAATGGTCCAAAGACACTTATAGTCTTCATTCTAGACACACCTTCATCACTGTGACGATCTTGCACAGCATTGTAGGCCGACCAGTCCAGGGGAAGAGGATTAGAATGGAGCTGACAGAGCCAAGCAGCATCCCTCCTCTGTGTTCTAGAAACCCTCTCTTGGACAGTAGCTGTTCTTGGCACTTCTTTCAGAGTGGGTGGAGTCAGCTTCTTAGGGCCTGTATAATGTTCAATGACAAGACTCCTGTTAGCTACCGGACAGAATTTCTCAGCTTGGAGCTTTGTCAGACGGGGTACTTTTAGCGATGTAATCCCACCGCCTGAATTGTCGCCACTCCAGGGAACAGGATCCCTACAGGATTTTGCACAAACTGAGTGGCCATGGCATGTGTTGTGCGGCAACCATTGGGTGTGAAGACTACAAGATCAAAATGATCACCCCAACTGTGAATAGGCCCAATGCACCTCTCCAGTCCTAATACCCGCAGGTACTTATCTGCATCATCTGAGGCATATTTGACAGCCGACTTCCGGAACCGGAGGACCTCATCATATGTTACAACAAGACCATGCTCATTTAGGTTCCGAACCAGTTCTGAACTACCATGCTTATGATGATGTTTTACAGCTAGCCCCAAAGTTGTCTGATTCCAGCTTTTACTGACAACCTTGTTGACATCATCATCGTCGTCATTGGAGAGGCCAGTCCTACTAATTTGAGTGATTTACCAATGTACTGCCTAAAGCCAACAATCTTCTGGCATCCTTCAACTCTCAGTACAATAACAGCATCACCATAATAATCACACAGGTTGGCTAGCATTTGCTTCCGGCACAAACTCCCAGAATTAGCTACAAAAACATCATGTAATTCAGAGACAGTCCAAGTCACTGTCTTGTTTGCACTCATGTGGTCTATGACGGAAGCTAGGCAGCTGTCAATTGGTTTACTAGCAGTTGCACTTGAGTCAATAGGTACCTCCCTGAAAGCATTGTAACACTTGGAGTGATACTGAGCATCAGCTGCAGGTAGGTCCATGATGCCATTCACCCGTAACTTCACAACTTCTCCCCAATCATCCTGTCTTTCATCACATTTAGACAAAATCACATCATTTAAGGATGGAAGGCCTGGCCTATCTAAAGTCTGAAATTTCCACCTGTTAGGATTTTGAGTATTTTTCTTCACAAATAAGACCACAGAACAAGCACTGTTTTGAATACTCAAAGGCAGAGAGTTGAGAGCGAATGATTCGCTTTCCGGGCTGACTCTGACAAGAGTCTGACTTGCGTTTGCTATCATTTCTAGAGCGAGAAGTATATGAGCTGTAGCAAGATTTGTGACATAACACAGAAGCTGATGAAGCACCATCAGTAGCAATAATGTTTGACAAAGTTTCATGTAAGGCTGTGTCTCCTCTGAATTAGAATAGTAGCGATTACTTTGGACCCAGATATTTTAAAGTCGCCATCTTTGCCACTGCATGGTGCAAACCGACACTTCTTTCCCGAAATTTTGACCTGATCAAACCAATCTCTCTTTGTTTTGAAAGTACTTAACCATAGAGAATGTTCCTCCACAACAACTTGAGACAGCAGCAATAACACTGAATATCGACTGTTTTTAATCCTTTCCTAATCAAACCTGATGTCAAAGTCTGAATTTAAAAAAAAGAAGAATCCAAAATTTTAAAATAATGGTAACTAATTTTAGAACACCAGATTTACCCACAAAATGGATCTAACTAGAAATTCACAATGTATTGAACAATACTGTCATTATAACTCTTTCCACCTTTTATCTTAATGGGAAAACATAAGTAATGTCAACATTAAAATGTCAACATTAAATCCCTTGACTGACTTTTGTACGAATATTAAGGCGATATAAGAAAAAAATATTTGCTAGGTGAATTTCGACTTTATTTCTCTGTGTAGTCTCCGTAGTAACAAGACTTCTCACGTCACCAGCTCACTTCCGCCACATCCGACGAACCCATTCCCCTCCTTAAATAGTTCGTCACAAATAATTAGCTTCTTCTAATTGGTCAACAGAAAAAATAAATGAAAAAAATATATAATCAAGTGGCTACCGGATTCCGTTCTGCCACAAACTATGAAACCATGAAACCATGAAAATACCATGAAAAAAAACAAAATTTTTGTCCGAAATTAATTAAAAATGTGTCTAAATGTATCCAAATTTGTTATAGAATTACCATTTTGGAGTCTGATAGTGCCAGAAATGAAATAAGCATTCTCTAAAACCTCTAAAACCACTCGCATATTGTAGAAATTGGCCATACAGTGCAAAATATCTGGTCAAAATGGACGATTAAGCTAACAATGCTAATTATGAAAATTGTTCAACATATGCAAATTAGCATCCGGCAGTTTCTGTATGCTGGGGACCCATACTTCACATTTCTGCAATAAAACTTTGGTGTACTCAACATTTCCGGGTTCACAATGGGGCTCTATGGGCTGGCTACTAGACTATGCAGTCAGGCTACTGTTTTGAAAACCGTTTGCTGTAAAGTTATTAGCAGTAAATAGCTGGATACAGTCAGGGTACTTTTTATAAAATGTTAGCTACAAGCTATTTGCCTTTATTTACATATTTGCAAATGTTTAGTTTGCTCCCTAGAGCTTAGGGAAACTGACTTTGCATCATTTGCAGTGCTTCATGGATATGGGTGGGCGCTAAAGAATTATTTTAGTGCGATTTGCTTGTTTCGATTTCCCGATTGGTGGGAGATTTCTCTGCAGAATCCGTGTTAACGTTTATTTTTTTTTTTTTTTAAATGTTAAAACATTGTAGGCTGATGGCTTCAACAACAGCATATACAAGTGATTAACAACTTCATAGCTCACAGTATGTCTGTCTTTTATTTTAAAAGTTGTTAAATCAATTCAGTGATTATATATTATATATAATCCAATTATATTTAATATTATTCCTTTTTATTTGATCAATTTCTATAATTCCTCGAATGTGATTTTTACTTTCGAAACCCAACTGTTGCACTCTATATTGTAAGACTGGCTAGGTCTAGCACATCCAAAAGAACTGATCCACTGATTTCTCACTGCTTTACTAAATGAGTTCCAGCTAGAGATCTGAATGTGTTACACCCATTGTATTGGTTAGAGGGGAAATTTTCACACTTTACATGTGTAACATCTGAGAAAGATTCATCCCTCCTTTCTCTCCTATTCTACTGTAGTGCCTCTTATGAAAAAAGTTCCAGTTGAGCAGTTCTGGAATGTTCCTTCAGGATATGACATAGTAGTGACTAGCAATGTTGTTGTGAACAGGCTTTGGCAGCTAATGAAGAATGAACTGTAGAATTCATTGCAGAGCTGACTGCTGCTGGGGGGGGACTATGTCTTTACCAGATTTTGCCAGACCTCCGCTACTGTGAGCAGAGAGAGAGACCGCAGTGGAAAAGTCAACAACACAATTTGGATTTGAATATATTTGTTCCAGTGAATCTAAAAATGGCAAATGGGGATTTGCGTCTAGTTTAAAGTAAATAGTGGATGCTTTTATCCTAGAATTTTAAGTTCAAACTGCTGACTCTGTACAGTATATTTGGAAACTTTTTTTGGAATTTTTTTTATAATTCCATTATGCTGTTAAAATGATACATTTCCCCATCCATTTCTTCTCTATCAATCTTAACACCTTCAGGATGTAAATGCATTAATGTTTCTGAGCAAATGAAGTGAATGTTTATTTAGAGTAAAGTCTCACAGTTGGGCTTGAGTTTGTTGCAAGTATAAAGACAGGTGTGTGACTTGTCATGAACGGTGCCCATCAGCCATACAATCAAAGTGAGCAAGGGATCTGGAGAATGAGTGTGCAGTAAATCAGGCCTGATGAGAGGCACTCAGAGCAAACGGGACAGTCTCCATGCTGCTTGAGTCCTTTCCAGTCCTCCACAATGCTCTGTCTGGACTGCTCTAGTTCCATTACCCACAGCCCTCGGTGCCATGCCAAGTGGGGTGGCCTTTATTGGCCTGTTTGTATGTTCTATCCCTTGCTGGTTGGTATCTAGTTAGGCTGGTTGCCAATGAGGATGGAATGATATCTACATTTATAATCATTATCAGCATGCCCAGTCAGAATCTGCACATTTTTGGATGTAAATGGTGGAATGTGTTAAATGGAATTAAGAATGCTGCACTCTAAAAGCATAGATTAGCTCAGCCAAAATATTTAATAACTGAACACGCAATGGCCAGAAGATTCACAGAATCTAATGAATAACATGCATTTCAGTTCTGTGGAAATCTGTGGAGTTTTCTGAAGAAGTCTGGGCCTGCTGTCAGATGCCAAACTTATAAATATTTCTACTTTGTTTTAACCAAAAGCAATATAGCTGACTAAGACAACATTTTTTCACAAATTAATTTAGCTAACCATGTCAACTTATCAAGTTGTGCATTTCTTATTTAAACTCATTCTGGTCCTTTGTTTTGCCCTTTTTATTTCATCAAGTGTTTGTAAAATAGAAAGGTTTAGCATACTTTATAACAAACTGAGGTGAATTTGAATATTTGACCATTTGTTGTTTCTTCTATGTGCACAGGGCCTGCAGAGGTTCCGATGATGTCACCCAATGGATCCATCCCACCCATTCATGTGCCTCCTGGCTACATCTCCCAGGTGAGTGCAACATTTCAAGATAATATCATTAAAGTAGGGGGAGGGGAGGGGGCAGTTTCAGTAAATCTCATGTTAATCTTGAGTACCTATAGAGTAGTATTGCATCCTTCATATCTCCAAAAAGTCTTTAGTTTTATTATATTTATAAAAGAAAGATAGGCTGTACCGAGTCTTTCCGGGAAAAAAAACGAGCGGGTGTGGGCGGAGCTAAATAATCAAGAGCGCGCAAAGCTTTTGCGTTGAGAGCGTCTGGAAGCTGTGACATCCCAAAACAAACCATGACTAACAATCAGATTCAGCCATAGATTTTTGATCCCGAATCAGATCCCGAGGCTGAAACTGAAGACGAGAAGCAGCAGCAGCAACGACTACAGCAGGACGTCTATATGTGGTGTGTACTGGAACTGTATAACTTATATTTGCTTAGCGGTTTTTGTAAATTACTAATTTTCACTTTGTCGTCGTATTTTTTTTTCTTTAAATGTGTACATGTGGGAAGTGTAGTTTGATGCCGACTGAGGCGGGAGTTTTTTAAAAGTAGAAATGATTTGAACTTGAGCGCAGTGTTTTTAGAACACCATGTCATGCGCGAGTTATAACTTACAACATTTGTGTGTGTTTACTCGTGGTTTTTGAGGACATGATTTGGTTTTACAATAAACAAACAGACACCTACAGTGGCCAGCTAAACAAATGTATTTAAAGGGGTCATATAATGGTACATGCACTTTTTCAAGTTGATTGTACTGAAATGTGTGTTGGCAGTGCCTGTACACAACCATCATATAATGATAAAAAATCTATCCAGTGTTTTTGTTTTAATCTCATTATGTTTTCCCCTGTCTCAAATCGAGCCGTTCGACCGTGTGACGTCACACGCTCGGACGCCCCTCCCATGATTGTTGATTGACAACAGCGTTTCAATACAGCCCTGCCCTGAGCGAGCTGTCATCATAGTCCGCCATTGTTGATACACTGGAGCAGAATGGCGTCTAAGCGATTGTGGTGTTCTGTTCTTAGGTGTAATAACGAACACAGCAGACATTTTGATGTTCTTAAATCTGAGCCGCTGAAGACACAGTGGCTGAGTTTTGTTTTCGAAGGGAATATTCCCCACGAGCAACGTCAATGCTTTCATGTTTGCACGATTCGCGAATCATTTCTCACCAGACTGCTTTATAAACGAGGATCAGTATAAAGCTGGTTTTGCTAAGAAGCTGCTCCTGAAAAAAGAATCGGTACCAACTATTCATGTCCCTGCTGCACCTCCAGAAGAAGTGAGTGTAAAATTTGATTAACCTTTATATTAATCTTTGCAAATCGCTTGCACTCCACGATGAATGCGTCTAAGGTTTACACTCAGGGTACATTACGGCATGTTTTCTATGTATGACGTTCTCAATATAATTCATAATCCCAAGTTTATAATGAACAACGCGTATTGTTATTGTGTTATTACAAACTGAGTACATATACATCAGTAAACGCATAGCCTTCAGACATCTCACTAAGTTACTCTAACGTTACCCTGCCAGTACATACAAAGATAGATCAAAGTGACATTACGTTAACCAACCATTCAGGAACGTCCTGTTCGAGCCTTAATTGTCGAACTTCTTTGTGGCCATCATCTTGTTCCGGTTCCGGGTCCGACTTCGGTAAAAACTGATACGGTTGCACAGATGTGTCCTAAGAGACTCCCGCTGCCATTCTTTCTCCAAAATATACCCTTGACTGTGTGCGCGGGTGCGCTTTTCCGAGAGAAATGCTCATATAAGGAGTTCCACTCTCGTCTACGTCATTAGATCCACGATCGAAAAAAACCAGCCGAAACTTGTACCAACCCTGAAGTAAGATTTTCGGCACAGAAATTCTGTTATTCGTCCAAAATATATTTTTTAAAAACTTTGTCTATGTTTAGCTAGCATGAGAATCCATCTCTTTAACACTGTAAACAACTCTGAATACATGAAACACCATTGTACCCCCCCCTTTAATAAACATGTCTTTGGAAAGGGAAAAATTATTATTTTAGTTTATTTTTTCACCACAATTATTTTAACTCTTCCCTCAGTATCTAAACAGAAGGAATAAAGAAAACCATAATAGACTCACAATGGAAGCCAGGAACAACATTTCCATACGTTTTACACTTCATTTAAATGACACTACACATTTTAAATTAGTAGTTATTACTTGAGCATGTGCTTGCAAGTGTGCTTGTGGGAGCTTCCATATTTTGGGGAAATAAAAAAAATCCAATAATGCCCACTGCACCGACTACCTCCCATCCTCTTACCTCTGTAAATGAGACCTGTGGTCTTTCCAGGGCTCTTACTTCTCTATTATGATCCATTAGACATTATACAAGAATCTGTCATCGTTCCAAACGCTGGCAGATGAGTGGAGTAATCAATATGTAGCGAGTGCTGATCTGGAATGAGCTCTCCAAACCTTAATTCTTATCTCGCTCATGATCGGCCAGACATGAAAGCAGACCCCTGACCAGTAGCTGTTGGAGAGATACAATCAGCACGACAACGGCTCTGGGCCTGGAGCCTAGTGGTTACATTACGTCTTCATTTATAGTTCAACAGACCTCACCTCAACATCTATCCACAAGCTGAAAAACGCCATTTCTGACTCTATGCTGGTGTTAGAACGGACTATTAAGAATATTTGCTTTGAATAGATTGTGATTTAAGAAAAGTTGATCTCCTTATTCACAAGATTATTTATTTAGACCTGTTGTTCTTAACCTCTATGTTAAGAAGAATCAAAAATGGGTGGTTGTGGGTCTTGTTTTCCTGACTTTCACACAGTGTTTCTATTGATGCGCTTATTACAAAGAGATTATTCCTCAAGGGCACAATGGTAATTGCTCATGGCACTAATGTAAAAGATGCAAATGCCAGCTAGAATGTCATGGAGCGCCAAGCAGAGAGTAAATGCATGTTAAAATTATGGATAGTCTAGCAAAGTTGAGGAGATATTCCCCACCTGACCCTGTAACCAATGATGAGTGAAGGTTGTTATCTGGTGATGCTGTTTACAAGAAAGGCAGATTAGAACGCAAATAGATTAGGCTTCTGTTTACTTATAGTGGGTTTCCTAATTTTTCTGTACTCTGCACTCTGAGTAGGAAAACAAAGTAGTCATGCACCTATTTTCTTTTTGAGGGGGTGCCAGTGGCAATCCTGCCTCACTTAGTCGGCTAGGTGAGATAAGACAGGACCAAAGGGGAAAAAAAATACATTAAACACTTCATCAGAAAAGAGAAGAGATGTTGCTGCAAGAGGGAGGGGAAGTTATTTTGATTAACTATTATGAGGCCATATGAATTAAAAAAAGAAGAAGATGTGTACGGATAAATCATTTATATTAAATAGTGCAATATTCCATAAAATAATAAGAATTGTCAGTTTGGATTTATTAATTTTTTTACTTAAAATCCGCTTGACTTAAAAATCATGCCCTCTTAGTTTAAATGGGCCTGACTCTTCACCCCTCCTGTGGCAGTTGAAGGAATCTGCTAATTGTCCAAAGGCCATTGTATCTGTTTATTTTAGCCCAGTGCCAACTAGGAGCGGGAAGCGCGGTCGGAGCTGTGGGCATCTACCGAAAGGAGACAGACTTTTAATCACAGCTTTTCTTTTTCAGACTAATTCATTTTTATTGTACAGTACAGCTCTCCAAACTTGAGGGCCAGCTGAGAACACCTCCGTTGAGTAATATGAAATCATAACAATCTCTGATATTTAGCACTCATATTGTCACCCATGACCTTGTTGCATCTGGCAGTGTCATTGCATTCTCCTCCATATTGTCTCCATAATTTTGTTTCTAGTAGCCTACTGCAGTGGGGCTGGACAGTTGTTTTGTAAGGACTAACATGTTAATGAAGACATTTGTAAAATAACACTGACCCATTCTCAGCTCACATTCCTCGTCAACAGTCAGTTTGATGTCTCTCATAGCCATGCATAATGAAACAATGTCTCTCACCGTGTGCACAACATCTGAATGCACCGCAAGCCTGAACTTGATCTAAGCTTCGCTAATCACTCTTGACATTGCTGTCTGCTTATTGATAGGCCTGTCAAACAGGCTGTCATATACACACACACGTAAACACACTCTCAGGGTCAGCAGGTCAGACAGGAGTAGAGTTCAAGTATTGAAGGGGATTTCACAATATAATGCAGTATTTTCCTAACACTCAATATTATGAAATAATAATGCTTGTTATTAATGTTTCATGATATTGCATTGATATTTCAAATTTACCACAGTCCTGGAAAAGTTGTAAATGTCAGGGAATTAAAAAAATCTGATTTTCAGCTCTAGAAAATTCATTAAAATGAAAAAAAAAAAAAAATCTTGTTTGTTTCTCATTAAAGGTGCTGGAGGACAACACAGGGGTCCGGAGAGTGGTAGTCACCCCTCAGTCTCCAGAATGCTATCCTCCCAGCTATTCTCCAGCCATCTCTCCAACTCATCACTTACCTCCATACATGGCCCCACCACCCTTTATTCCCAACTCACACACGGCCTTCTACCCACCCGTCAGCCCTGGGGACATTTCCCCCCACCAGTACTACCATCACCATATCCCGCCTATGTACAATGAAGGTAGGAGTGCATATAAACACAGCTTACTCTCCTCTTATTCTGATATTGTCACAATATCAAGTGAAATCTCATGATATTTCAGTTCCACAGCCAAAACTGATAAGCTTTTTGACCACACTCAAAAAAAAAAAAATCTAAATCATGCTGTGTGTTACCTTATGAAGCCCCCCTAAAGAGACATGTGATTGTAAAAGAAAAAAGAAAAAAAAGAAAAAAAGAAATGGGATGGAAATTATTTCAATGCTTTGCGTTTTCTCAAAAAAGTTTTGCACACTCATCGCAAAACCTTTGCACTCCACTGACAAACTGTGTTCGCTTGCAAATCTTTTGTGATGGAAATGATATTTCACTGCTTTTTTTGTACGTTTTTTGGGGACCGCAAAACTTTTGCTAGGGAAGACAAATTCTTTGAAATATAATTTTTCCTCCCATCTCATATTTTTTTCCATCACCATATCCCCTTAGGGGCTCTGTAACTTTTCAGTGTATTTGTAAGTGTAATGCTGCATTCCATTTACCTCGGAAGAGGTATGTCGGAGCTGGGAATGACGTCACGCCTGAGTTGACCACAATCCAGTACAAAGATCAGAAATCTAAGATGGATGCATCCAGGCAAACCTTTGTTGTGCTTGCTTATTCCGATTAAAAAGTGGTATTTTGCACATATAAAGCCGAAGTATAATGTCTACAAAATAGAGGTTGCATAATACTGTGTGCACCACTGAGTTTGAGACACAGACAAACAGAAGTACTAATAAACAATATTACTACTGTTGATATGCTGAGAATCCATATTGTATTCTGAAGTCAGCGTTGTTGAGTTTCCCATTTACAACTCCGACTTGAAGGGCATTCCAGTTAAACGTTCTTACTGGGGACTAGGAATTTCCCACTTCCGAGGACAAATGGAACGCACCATAATTTTTCCCATTCCTAAATTATATGGCAGTTTCATGGTTGAATGATTGTTTTGTTGGCGCAGAGATAATTCCTGTGTACGGGATGAACTACCTTGGGCGGGATGAGGCATTCAAACCCCCACCAAAGAAGATGAAGGACAGACTGGAGCGTCAGAATCGTCTCAACAGCCCTCCCTCTATCTATAAGAGCAATGTGGGCTGCAACAACATGTACAATGGCTACGGCAAGGTCCACGGAAATCTTGGGGGTGGTGGAGGAGGGGGAAGCAGTCCCGGAGCTAAAAAAACAACCCGTGGAGCTCGGAGTAGCCCCAGATCCAGCGAGCCAGACTTACAAGGTAAGGACTTTTGCAGTAGTCTAGTCAACAGGTCTATTTGTAAGTTCATCTCTTCGCTTTTTTGGAAATACTATTTTTATTTATGTATAGCACCATTCGAAAGTTTGAAATCAGTAATATTTTTTTTATATATAATTGAAAAATGTATTGAAATTGACAGTAAAGACATTTATAAAGTTCTTTTGAACTTAATATTCATCAAAGAATGAAAATCATGGAAAAAAAAAATGCAACAGTTTCCATGAAAATATTAAGCAGCACAACTGTTTTCAACATTGAGAATAATAAGAAATGTATCCTGAGCAGCAGATCAGCATATTAGAATGATTTCTGAAGGATCATGTGACACTGAAGACTGAAGTAATGGCAGCTCAATATTCAGCTTTGCCATCACAAGAATAAATTGCATTTTAAAATATATTGAAATATAAAAGTTATTTTGAATTGTAATAATATTTCACAGTATTACTGTTTTTACTGTATTGTTGATAAAATATTTAGCTGACCCCAAACTTTTGTATAAAATATATATATATATATATAATAATTTTTTTTAAAGCAAATAAGTTACATGGAATTTTAAGAGTCGGAGCAGAGGGAGATGGTTACGTTCTGCTTTGTGCCAAAAATTCTCAGCAACGTTTACACAAGACATTATAGATGTTATTGTGGTTACATTAAATCATCTTGTACATGGTTAGAATATTTAGCCTCTGATGTTTCACGGCTTCCATTAGACATCTGTAATGCATGTTTCCCTCAGTGTGCCCACAAACTTTTCTCTCTCCTCTTAAAAAAAGAGATAAGTGCATCAGTAGAGGTAAAGGGGGTCATCATGCCACGGAAACTGCATAGCTGGGAATCGCCAAGGTGCTATCATTTTTCCAGCACCCACAATGTGGCCCTTGTATCTCAGGTTGGGCCTCTGCTGAAAGGCAGCCCACATACCTGTGGAATCACATTCTCCCAATGAAGGGGTCCTTTGAGCATGGCCACCGATCCTCACCAATTCCACATGTGCCTTATCAGGCCCCCTGCAGTGCTGATTGCAGAAGAGCTCCATTTAAGATGTGTTCACATGCTGTTTTTCTGCTCTCAAGAACATTTTCTTAATATAAACATTTTTCAGAGCATACATTCATAACTGTTTTAAATTATTTAAACACATGTCTGCACTCCAGAAGGTCGTTGCTTTTTTTTCTGCACTGTCTTTTGCCAATTCCTTTTTTTTTTTTTTCAGCCTTTAGTGTCCTTGAAGTTGTAGCTTTAAATTATGTATGTGCCACTGATCCCAGGTGTTTCGTCAATGCATGGACATTTGCAAGTGCTGACAAGTGGGGCAAAGGGAATGACCCTATTCATTTATTTGATCTGCCAAAAAAGGCAGTTTTAGCCCTCAAGAAAAAAAAACATTCCACATTCAATGATTTGTCTGTGTATTATGTTAAAGGCAGAACATTTAGCATTATATATGCAGGTGTTGTAAGACTGGACTCATTGCACACTGACATCATAGAAATGTAATTTGTCTGCTGCAAGCCGCCCATCCTTTGATCAGCTCACAATAGACCTTCGCCGTTAACAAGCTAAGGAAGTGCTCATACATCCATATGGTGTATCCGTTACTCACACTTAGAGTATCTTCAGAATCAAAGGCGAATGCTGACTGTGGCAGAATTCCCAGCAGATAAGACCTTGAAGCTGTAACCCCATAACTGTGGCTGCTGTCTCACTTCATACATGATAGTTAGATGATTATTTTGTGATGGTTATTTTGTCTCGCATGTTGAAAAACTGAAGAAAACATGAGATTTTACAATTATCTGTTTTTTATACAGTTTTGACGTCAATATTAAAATTAGGGGGTAAATTGGGAAAAAAAATTGGGACAATGAGCAAAAGATTTTGATCAGGAACTGTTCATGATCCACTAAAGTTCACCCAGAAATGATCATTAAGGGTGTGTTCACACTTGGCATGTTTGGTTTAATTAAAATGAACCCTGGTGTTAGTGCTCTGTTAGTGAGGTTCATTTGAATAAGTGTAAACTCTGCCATCCGAACCCTGGTGTGCACCAAACAAGCAGACCGAGACTGCCGAAAAGATGGGTCTTCGTTCGCTTCCAAACGAACTCTGGTGCTGTTCGAATGATTTTTGGGTGAACTATCCCTTTAAAGCATGCAAAAAGACCTTACATAACATTGTTGAGTTATCAAGCATAATCTGGTGTAAAATACTGCACGTAAATGCACTCAGTGTATAGGCCAAGCAGATGATTTTTTTGGAGATCACCAGAAGCAAGGCGCTGGGGTCAAGTCTCAAGATACCGCAGCCCTGTGGAGTCGAATGAATGGTTGATGAAGTATAGAAAACAAACTTGAGGCTTCTAGCTCACGTCACTTACTGAGGGCTACGGCCATCTGGGCCTCACTGCAGCCTTGCTCCTAGGCATAAATCATCATGACCACATATGCAGACTACTTGGCTCCCTAGATCACGCCGGAGATCAGGTTAAAAAATAAATCTTTTTGAGAGGAAGCTGCAATAGTATGATCAAACTCTCAAGACTAAAGAAGAACAAAAAAGAGAAATGGAGGGAATGTAAGAGAGACGGACAACAAAAGGGCAGACATTCCAGCTGTCGAAAATACGTTGTTGGCATAGCAGTTTGAAGATCCAGGCCTGGCTACCAGACATGACTGGAGCTGTGAAAACAATTCGACTTGTTCTCTCGCAGCACCTCGCCTGGATGGTCTTTGCTCAGATCACCCCATGGGCACAAACACACTCACCTCCACTCATGAAGCTCGATTACATAAGGCAGGAAACCACATCCCGAGGCCCATCAGCTCCTTAGTTCCTAAGCTGCAAGGATATGTGCGCTTTTTAGCGCTCCACCTTCATTAACTAGATTAGGCTGGGGCTAAGCCTGTGTGCAGAGGAATACTGGCCACTAGATTAACCTTCTCATAGTCTCAGGCTTGCAGCACTTCAACCTTAACTCCTCTCGATCTCCTGTTCTCTTTGTGTGTTTGCATGGACTCAAGCAGAAACAGATGTTCACTTCTGATCCTCTTTGGCACTGTGCATTTCCTCCAGCCACGTGCTTTCACTCCGTCATTATCGACCAGAAGCAACAGATGTTAGTTAATCTTGGCTTTGTGTCTTTGCCACAATGGTAACAGTTTCCCACATTCACTCTTCACAACATATGAGTCACTGAGAAAGGTTATGCCCCAAGGTCACTTCGATAACAGCATGTGATTGAGCAATGATGGGTGACGCAACTTGGGGAAACTGAATAAGATGAGAGGGCTGCTAAGACCAGATGCCAGCTCTTCAACTAATTAAACATGACCTTTCTATTATCTGCCGGTGCTTATTCTGTCATTTACAGTTGGCACGCCAGAACTCTCACCTATCAAGAGATTCTTACGAGTCTGTGTAGGTTGCTTTTCAAGAAGTTGCCATAGAAGGGACTGAGAACTGGGCCAAAATCAACGTTTGTGAGTTTTTCTGGGAAGTCCCTCTTACAGTAAAACAATGCACAAACTCCGTCTGTTTCAATGGAAGTGTTTGTCTGTGACAGGATTTTTAGTGGTGTATTTTGATAAACGTGCCTGTTAAGACAACTCCGAGATAGATAGCTGGAGTTCTACTGTACCAGTCAAATCAAATAAACTTATCATTAATCCATTATGTACACACACAGATTTTTTTTTTTTTTTTCAAATGGATATACAAGATCAACACATAAAATATTCAGTGGCTCAAATGGGCAAGTTTGACAACTAACCCAAAACTCACATGGTCCAAACCAAAGTCAGTGGGTCATCCTTATTGTTGAGTCCTGTTACACATGATGAACATTTAAAAAAATGAAAAATAAAATAAAAGAGCAAACGCATTGGAGACATTAAAATGTAATAAAACATTTGCAAATTACTGACCAAATAAAAAGTTGGAGTAATGTAAATTATGAGATTTAGTATTCTTTTTTTCGTTTCCCCCAGCTCCATATACTTCTTATTCACATTCAATAAGGAGGCACAAAGTAAACACAGAAATACCTGTGGAGATTGTGGCACTGGGCATCCAGAGCAGGTCACCCCGGTTCAGTCACTCTGCAGCTCTCAGCAGTCTCGTTCACTCCACCTCCCTCCTTTTCCCTCTATCCCTACTGTCTAGCCTCTGCCAACTTTCTCCATTCTTTCCAGTTCCCTTCCAGGAAGCGCTGGCGTATCCTTGTGTCCCTTGGCAGTAGGGAGGCCATGCATCTCTGCTGTGAGCGAATGCCACTGAGAGTCCCTCTGGAAATAGCTAGAGACATGGAGCTAGCACACTAAAGGCAAGAGACTGATGCCAGCTTGGCAGTTGTTAAAAAACAAGCATCCATTCTGCTGATGGGGCCAAAATGAAAGCAAACAATAGTTCATCAGATGTTTACACACATATACAGTACGCTTTTTGTAGAAAATCAAAGAGGAGGTATGAGCAATGCTAACGTCTTGTCCTCATTTCAACCTCTCCAAGGTAGGCTGACCAGTTTAGTCTGCTAAATGATGTATAGTAGAAGAGGCAGTGTACTGCTGATGTTTAAAATATGTAATCAATATTTTACTTCTACAGTATGGTTTTGACAGACTGAAATGCAAATACTGTAGATAAACTGACTGATAGACTATCAAGAACAGATAAGACAGACAGATGATGATTGACTGTCTAGATTCTAGACCATAGACTGTAAAACAAGATTGACAACACGCCTTCACTCTCTACCGTTGTAGAAAAGTGAAGCCACCAATGTCCAAATATTGCGCTGACATCTTGGAGCCTGAGTCTGCGCAGTAGTGAGCATGAAGTGGAGCTGTGGTATCAAGGCCCGCCCTCACTCCCGTAGAATCGGTTGGTACAGATTACTGCAGAACAACTCGTGTCGAGTGAAATAAACAGTTATGGAAATGTACAAATTAAATTTAAAGCTCCAATCTCCCGAAAAT